CTTCGACGGGACGGCGCCTTTCTGCCCACCGCAACTGGAGTCCCGTTCTCCTCAACGTTATGCTCGCGTGCCCCATTTGACGATTGCTGGGAGACGGAATATAATGCGTATTTAACGCAGCCCAGCACAATATGGCAACAGCTACAGCAGCTGCTGAGGATCTTAATGAGCGACCACTTGACAGGGCCTTACTCCCTGGGTCCGATCGCAATCGCCTTGTTTACAGCAAGGCGATAGTTTGTATGAGTCTGGCTGGCGATAGCGACAATGCCCCCCATCGGAGTACGGGGTAAGCAGTCCCAGATACATACACCGACATCGAAGTTGTGCAGTTAGTGGGGAATTCTCGGGTCTTAATTTTGCGCCGTTCTCAACCATTCCAAAGTTGTTAAACCCAAACGTCTTTTCACCTATCGTCCCACTTTTTCCACTCAATTTTATATACAAGCCATCTAGCCAGATTCGAAATGAAATTCCACAATCGTTTCGGGGTACACTATGATTTCTGGGAATGTCCAATGGTTACATATGCTTACCACACGCGGATACCACACACGGATCAATAAAGCAGAAATAAGGTGACGTCGACAACTTACCGCAACAACAGCTCGTCGAACAAGCGAGCAAATCAGCCTCTCCAAATGGAGGTCATTACTGTCGATTCTGTGAAAACGATGTTCGAATCCTCAAGAGTTTCTTGCCCCCCCCCCCCCTTTTTTGTTCTGGGACCCGTTGAGGTGGCGCTAAGAATGAAGCAGAGCCTAAACTGTGATTCCATAATTGCCTTTTCAAAAAATAGGGCGCCATAGTCGGCTAGAGCAGATTTATTTCCTTCTCTCTCACTAAGGCATTTTCTAAAAAGTAGTTAAGGATCGATGGATTCTTGGGCACCGTTTGTTGATTTGGTGAATATTGCATCAAACACAGTCGGCACAAGTTTAGTGGCGACGGCGACCTGCCGGTCCTATTGGCCTATCGCAGCCATGTTCGATCGATCCGGTCTCGGTGTTTTCAGCGACAACCGTTTACGGACGGCGTTTACAACCCCATTTACTGTCTTCTTCTACTGGCGAGTGCGGCCTTGGTGGCGTCGTATTAGCCAATTATCAAAAAATCTACCATAGGCGTATGTTCGTGTAGGCCGTGACTGGTCCATAAATTTTTCTGAAAAAATCAACGTAACACACAGAACGTTGGGAGCAATGATGAACTTAGCCGAGACAGGTATGATATGATGGTAATGACGCATGGCTTGTTCTATGGCTATGTTTAAAGAGTGAATATATTAAACAAGTCAAGCGGTCAAACTAGTCTTACGATTGGGTTTAATCGTCAAGTGTATTTTGATCATGTTACTGTAAGCGTCTAGAGATAGATCGCGTTATACGTAGCACTATCTAGTGGAGGATAATGGTTCAGAGATGGTTCTGAATTAACAAAAGAACTAGTACCACGCAGACGAACACAATATCAGATATGACTCAGTCGTACTGAGAGTATATTATTTTTTATTAAATGTCAAAATAATTATCTCTCTACGAGGTATAATCATAGCAAGCTAGAAGATCAGGCAAACGTGATCGTTGGGTCGTGGTTTTTCTAATTGCGTATACTTCGTTTACGGCTCAGAGCTAGCATTCAGCTCACATGTCGTTTCACATATCATTCAGTTTCCATGTCATTTTCAAACCAATTAGCGCAGTTCGAACCTTTTTAGCGGTCTCTACAACAAATACCCGTCAAAAATTTCAGCATAACTGGTTGTCTATAGCTTATTCCCGGCGTTCTCGGAAGGACCAGAAACGCCTCGAAGGCGCCCATGCGAAGGAGCAAGCTATGTTTTCCTACGACTCAGCTGTTATAGCAACACCAGTGTTCATTTATGGGTCAGGGTTCCGTATTTACAATAGGCCATGGGTAAGTAATTGTGGGTTGGAGAGAAGATCATTTGGCCGAACTCATCGAAACACGAAGATATCCCTGGACCATTTTTGGTTCCCGCGACGTCCGCGAAGAGACCGAATGACGGCATTTTGATCTGAGAGAACCAAAGTCACCCAGCGTGAGAAAACGGGTAGGCTTAGAGCGGGGTTCTGTATTTTTAAACGGTACGAGTTGTTTTTACTTGGAAGTACTATAACAAACGCCCCTTAAATACTGGTGGTGAAACGTTCTGAACCTCATTTCGGCCGCAGTGTTTACTTGCCTTGAAGCAATAATCAGGAAAATATTGGATAGATTTTAATAGACGCTGCATTGTCCTTCGGTAAACAAAAAGTACATTCTAGTACATGTAGTATATTTCTCTTTTTTCTAGTTACTATTGGAATGACGCGGCTATTACGAGGATTTGTATGGACATCAGGAGATTTTCATCTTTCTGAGCCCAAGCACAATGAAATGATTAAGTCTTCGCATCTTGAAAATCGTGTTACCTCATTGGTCCGCGTTTGCTCCACTTATCAATTGCCTATTTTTCTTTGTAAATGCTTTCAACAAGATCACATTATATTACCATCCTCGGAGAGACATCTTTGTTGCCCATTACGGTCTTTATTACGATATATATATATATATATATATATATATATATATACTATCTCCTAATTCAAGAAAATAGGTTTTATTTATTACATACTACAGAGCGCTATAATAAGCGTTGACGAGACTGACGCTTGATGCTGATCCGAACCATCCTCGGCTGTCATCAGGCGCCGAGCGGTCTCTCGCCAAGTAATCCCTATGTGAAAGACGTAATACACTTAAGAGGGACATGTCAAGACTGTGAAATGGATGAAAAGCACTTTATCGGTGGTCATCTTTAAATCGATGCGGGTCCAGTTTTTCTGTCCCTCTAATATTACCCCCTTGGCCTCCATGTTAACGGCTACCGTGAACCACCTCACGTGTCTTAGCAAAATCTCTTGGCGAGTTGCCAGCAGCGCGTTCATAGGGACCAGAACTTGCAGCGGCTGTTGTAGTGAAGGCTCACAGCCATCTTACTATGCTACAGTTAATGGCGAGGGCAGTAGCTCCAATAATGAGTCTGCCCGTTCGGCCGTGTCTGTCGGCAAAGAGCCGCAACGTTCTCCGTGATGTGGACTCTTTTTTAGTAAAGCCAAGAGAAGCATGAAAACTGTAGCAGACTGCGGTTCAATAACAAATCACCAAGAGCGCCCAATCAGCCAGTCGTTCCATGGCAAAGCGAGCCACTCTGTAAGCTAGTCCAATGCTAGTGCCCCCAATGGAAAGACTGCGAAAGACATGTGCTTGGCAATTCGGCCTGCCTAAACGCATAAGAGAGCATACATTCTTTCCGGCACAAGCTTAGCGAATCTGCGCGCGCTTCCTGCCTACCCGACTGGGGTAAGCAGGCCCAATTGAGCTTGCCAGGGCTCCGCAGAGGGTTTTCTACGAAGCCCCCTCTGATTATGCAACGCGCGAACTCTGATGGCTTGCTAGGCTGAACGGCGTTTTCGCGTGAACGAATGACTTGCGAATTTCTTTCATAGTGGTGGTAAAAAAGGAACAAGACGCACTGACACGCTAACTGACTACGGGATTTTTACGGGACATATAGTATCTCCAAGTGAATGGCGCCGTGCACGGAGAATGGAAATAGAATGTGCTTGACCTAGTAGAAAATGCCAGCTGAAAAGCAGGTCATACTTGAATTCGAGTTTTCGGCAACATCTTTCCATTAGTACTTTGTAGCATGCACTCGTATCGACGATAGCTGCTATAGCTACCACTGCTACTGCTGTAAAAGATGACGTTTCATAGCAAACAAGAGTTATCTATCATACATATGAAACTGAGTTGTACAATTTGTGTAGGAAATTAGGATAATTAACAGGATATGCTATCCATGAAAGCGGTTTGGTTGGATAAGTAGGTGAATTGTTGGCATGCTGAAAAACAAAATAAGAAAAGTTTGCCGATTTATCCGTTTCTCATATTTAGACACAACAACAACTTGATTAATTGAAATAAGTTAGGGACCTCTTAAGGTAAAGAGTTTTTAACATGAAAAAAATCTGTTATTACGTCCGTAGAGGCATTTCCCTCTGAATTTCAAGAATTATTTTAGTACTAACTAAGTTAATAGCTCGAAAGTATACATTATATATATTTTAGAGAATATAAATAAGTAAATGAACTTAAAATGTAATAGTAAGTGCAAACATTTTGATCCGACTCACAAATTTTGGATGTAATTAAATTATTTTGCCTGCGATTCAACTACCTTACGCCCACAATTGATTCCACCTAGAAAAAAAGCTCTGCCAGATGCTCAATTCACAGGCCCAATAGAATTGATCTTTACAACAGACAAACTTTAATCTTACTTTATTAAGACCGCATGTTTGCGGAGTTTACTGATGTCATTTGATTGGTTTAGTAAGTTTAATGAATGTATTAGAATCAGTAGCTGACAGTTTGATAGCGTTTCGGACATGGACCCATTTTTTTCATAGTTGATGGGCTATGTATTCGTGTATCACCCCATTGCAGATGTCAAATAAACGTTCATCACAAACTGTTGATACATCGACATTAAATAAGTGTCCCATTGGTTGGTTGCTATTAAATTGACGTTTAGGAAAGAATGGTTTGGCAGTTGTAAAAGCATCTGTTTCGCTAATAAATAGCTAAGCTAAAAGTCGATCTTTCCTTTAAGTTGCGTATTTTTAAGTCATTAACCTACTGTTTCTACTGTCCTCTTATAGATTAGTATATACTCTTCTTTCATTATTAGGCTAATAAATTTTCAAAAGCTAGATGGATCATCAAACTCAAAAGGTGATACATATGTAACTTAAGGAGATTACGTCGCTATTCTAAAGCATGGTCTTAAGTTAATAGTTTTACTCACTTCACGGAGGCATAGCTCGTGTTAGTTAGACTGGCGAACTCTGAGCGGCCCAAACCGAGGTCTCGATGCTTATTGGCTTTACTAGTTTTTATGGGGTTCTTTTCCACTGTTTACAATTATCTAGGCGAAAAACCGACGAAGTCAAGCAATTAGAAAGCAATTTAGTGACGAAAATTGGACAAAATGCGCGCAACCCACTGGGAATGCTGCTGGGGGGAGGGAACCAGCAAAATCAACAGCAACAGCAGCATCTGCATCAACAACAGCAGCAGATGCTTCACCATCAGCAACAGCCACAGCAGCAGGGGGGCGCCATACCGGGCCTCCAGGGCGGTGCTGAAGTACCAGGAATGGGACCGACGCCGGGCGGGCCGACGGCGCCCCCAGCGACATGTCAACTCTGCCTCAAAACGAAGTTCGCCGATGGGGTCGGACATATCTGCAACTACTGCAACGTAAGTAGCTGAAAACGCCGATTTACTTCCCCCCAATACTTCCTGCCAGGAGATCGTATTTACAATAGTACTCATTAAGACGTCATGGCTATTAGTTGTCTATTACTGCGGTAGTCGTATCCAATTATTTTATATTCAAGTTATCTTGATCAAAAGCACCCACCTTTCAACTGGCTGAAGCAATAGATTTTACACAAAGATATACCCGCAACAATAGCCAATTTTAAACTAAATATGATACAAGACTACCAGGGTTCTATAGCTATGCCTATGAGCAGACAGCGCGATGTTGCATGCATGCCCGCAGTTCAAGTTAATGGCGAGCAATCACACTAAGTTCTTCTTATTTTTTCCTCTCTTATCTCTCTATCTCTGAGTCAAAAACAGGTCCTCGTTTGTTCTAGATTCAAAACGGAGTAGAGTTAGTAAGATGGTATTAAAAAAGGAAAAAGCGTGAGTTCAGATCTATCTGCGAGGTCTCCACACTGATGAAGGATTTTCGATAAAGATCTTCAGAGCGAGACAAGCACTGACAGAAAGCCGGACGGTGGCGGCATCAAGAGCTCCATTCCAGTCGACCGTGCCTTCTATGTAACTAAAACGAGGCAGGAAAACTGAAAGAACCCCTTATTCAATGTTTCGACCTCGTAAGCTTCCTGCCTCAACCTGTACCCCGTTTTCAAGCCGGTTTCCCCTAGTTAACTTCCTCTCAATTTTTTCTTTCGTCCTCTTGCTCAAATGCTGTCCCCCTTATTCCTAATTTTGTTCGCGTAAGGCCTTTTTTGGCGACTTCTGATGTCGGGGTAGCCGACAACAGAGGCCGACAACGGTACTGTGTAGATGTTGTGGTTGGAGATGAGCTATGCCCAAAGTGGTCGGTCAAGTAGGTCCCATTTACTCGTCTCAGACTCGAGCCTAGTGAGGGACTCGTCGCCATGAAATCTGTAAATCTTACCGGCCACTGAACCCTGCAGGTCTTGCCTGCAAACTTTCGTTTAGCAAGTGTTCAAAATCTGAGGTCAGGGCCTCCCACAATCTCCTTACTCGTAGATCCCGAACAGCAATCCCAACGAAGAAATTTACCATGATGCGGTTGCCGGTGCGTAGACGGCAGAGAGAGAGAGCGATCTGTTTTGCCCTTATCGTGAAGGGAATTTCTGTAAGGGGCCTTTATGAAGAGCCTAGTTCTACTAATGCTATAACTAGGTAGGTCGAGTCTGGGGACTAGGCAATCATCCAGGCGAGCAGGCAGCCAGCCAGCGGACCAGTTAGGGGAAAGCAACAATCGTTTCCTTTAACCCTCCCAGCTGACTCAATTGGTCACTGGCTCAACACAACCGACACGAGGCAACACCACCGCCTCCGCATCAGCCCTTCTATGTAAAATGCTAAAGCCGTTAGTAGTTGGATTCCTCTCGTCTACGTCGTAATACCCTTTCCCTTTTCCTACTCATCGTTCGAGTGGTTGCATGAGTATGGTTGCCGCTGGAGCAGCCGGCAATAGAATTCGAAGGCATGGGACGGTCGAGTAGTTGACGACGCGGCTTTTCGGCTGCTTGTGGTGATCCTAGTGATAGGGGCAATTGTTGACGTGGACCACCGTGACGAAGAAGGACCCTCCCTTTCTGACTTTCGTGCTCAGTTCCACTACCTTCTCCGTTTGGCCTCCGGGGATGACCCCTCCCGAATGTCAGCGAAAGAATCAGCGTCCTTCTGCTTTCTTATATCACCAAGTCGCCTGCTTCGCTCAGAGGATGAAGAGAGCCCCATGGCTGAGGGCAACCGGCAGGCTGAGAGGACAAGATTGAGGCCCTGGGAAAGGACGGGATGGGGGTTAAGCATAGAGAGAGCGATGCATGGCGAAGGGTAGTCACTGCCATCTAAAACGGCGGGCACGCTTGCATAGGCGAAAACTGGCACGCGGTTCGATTCACGCGGTGCCAGCAACGATGACTATGGCTACAGCAACTTGACTGCGCCGTTTTCCTTTGGAATCAAAGATATGGATAAGCAGGTCATGGCCAAACCTCACTCTTTAAATCATCTCGACCGGTTGGATCAAAATGTAGGCCACTATCACAGCATCCTTGGACAGCAACTTAAGGGTTATAAATAAACCCAAGTGCATAGAGTGCCGACGCTGCTACTGCCCTTGCTGACGCCACTATCACCACGAGGGGATGTGGTCGTAGTTTAGAACTCGATGTCGAACGAAACACAGGTTAATGTCTTTTTGAAATAAGATTTATAATCTTACTCTTAGGTTAGCCGTCTCGGTAGCTGTCGTAAAGGGTGCATAGAAGCTGTCCGTGAGAGGGAGTCTCAACAGTAAGGCCGGCCAATGCATGCAGCACCTGGCGTTCAATTAATTAGGCAGTAACAAACGCTAAATTAATACGTAGTAGTGGCCGTTTTTGTCTTCCCGTTTTCCATATGTCATTCGCTGACCGTTATGTACTATTGACCGCTAAGCTCTTTCTTCTCATTCTCCTGTAGCCTGATTAGATCGCAAAATTTTGCCTTAAATCTATTTTTCTGAAATAAGCGTGTCTTGTGGAAGAAAAAACAGGCTCTTCAGTATTTTTTTTTTTAATTTATTTTCACTTCACGTCAAAAAACTACTTAAACAACTCACAACTACAGGTAGCAGTGTTACTTAAAAGTGGCTTGCTACGCTTAAACATGGCGTCCTCGACCTAAACAACACAGTCGGCCCTTTCAACTCGTCGAATCGATCGCTTTAAGCTAATTTTTAGGAGAAAAAACTTTTAGGCAGTTTACATCGCTTAGTTATAGGATTTTCACCGTAAGCGCAATCCACATCTTGGATTGTATTTGCAGCTTTTGACTATCTATAGATGTGAAATTGAAACGGTGTTGAATGTTTTTTGGTCACTTTACATACATCGATTTTCGAGTCCGATTTCAGAGTAAAGCATTAGAATTTGAACAAATCAAGGGCATAAAACAATGTAAAATAAGTAACTTTCCAATGGCGTATATCTTTTTTACCATTAGTAAATGTCAAATGCGAACAGATGAATTAACAGCAAAAACGGATGTTACGTACACACTAATCGCATAACAGAAACAGAAATCAGGAGCAAGTCGGAAAGAACATGAAAAGGAAAGAAATTCACCCTTATTCATGAGTATGAAGTAAACACAAATGCGGCACGAGCGAGCAGACGACAGTTGGGAGTATTGGGCGCTCCGACAGAATCCCTTAAACCGGTTCTTTTCGTTGGCCTGCAGAACGACTAGCTGTGTCAGGCCAGGCTGTCTGTCAGACATTGTTTCACCACAGCCTTCTCTGAACTCCCTCGTTTTCTTCTTGCCCTATGGGTCAGTACTCGTAACTCTTCGGGTGGAGCGATTGGTTTAGATGAGCGATCACTTGACAATTAACTTTTTGTCCCCCTTAGTTTGGCGGCTTTTTTGAAATAGCAGGCACAGAAGGAAAGAAGAAAGGGGCTCTATAGAAAAAAAAAAAAAAGAAAAAGAAAGAAAAACAAAAAGCCAGAAAAGGAGAGACAGATTAGGGGGGCAAGATCGGCTTAGTCGACCCCCAAATTTCATATACCAGGTAGACAATTTACCACAGAAAGAGAAAGAGTGGGACAGGCTAGTGGATCGCTAAAAGCAGAAGACGGAGAAAAGCTCACTGCATACTTTCCATCGACTTCAACTGGAGGATCAGCACTCCAGCGCTTCCTCGAGTTGGTTGTGGCGCATCGAGGCCGCCAGTTCATAGCGGCCGATAGACTCTGCAAGGCGCCGCACTCGTCTTCTGTCTTCTTGGAGCGAGGGGCCCAACCAGACTAAACCCCAAGGAGGCTAGGGGTCGGGGATTGAAGGGAGGTGAAGAATGTTACTCAATTTACTATTAGCTGAATAATGGCGCTCGGGCACGGAAGCGTCGTGTACATTCTCGCTGTGCTGAGCTTGCCAGCGTGCTAGAAGAATGGTAAGGCCCGGTTCTTCATCCCAATTTGGACGCAGTAATTTGCGGTAAGAGTGGGTCTGTCTGATTTGGGAAAGTAGAACGCGGCAGCACTTTCGTTGTGTTGAGATGTAATACGCTAAATATGGTGACGAAGGGAAGTTCTGCTCATTGTAAGCACCTCGTTCGGATATGGAGCGAACATCGAAGAATTATTGCAGGCTGACATCGGGAACGGATATGGAACCAAAAGTGCCGCGTCGAAGTTGCGTTATCCTATCAATGTCAATTATTTTTAAAGAAGAAAAAGTAAGATAAAAAAAATTGTATATGAAATACAACACTTTCTAACGCTTGATCAACTTCCTCGCCGCAGGTGTGTTTCTTAAACTCGGATAAGTGTTCAAATCAGTTTAAAGTATCAATAGAAAGTAAAGACTTACGTCATTTACGCAAACGTGTTAAAAATGAGATAGTCTCCGTTATTAGATTGTCTCATTTTTCGAAAATGTATGTGTACCACAAAATTTAATTTAATTTTTATCATGCGCTGACTGTTACTTTTCAACATTATGTATTTCTACTAGCGGGCCATAAATCTACAAAGGGTACCTTGCGGTTGATAATTAGCACAGAATGGCAAACCGCACAATCAAGAAAACTTGAGCTTTATTATACTTTTCAGTTATTTTCATTGTATCTCATTTCAGATAAAAGCAAAACGACGTTGTCGTCAAACTTTGGTAATTCTCATGAATATGCCTGTACTCATTTTAGTGATTGCCTTTATTTTTCTAGCGATTTCTCTCATCGAACATTTCGCATGTTTTAATGTTTTTTTCTAAAGGTACGTTGTTGCGCCCGCTGTGGGGGTAAGGTGAGCCTACGTTCAAACAAGGTCATCTGGGTGTGTATTCTATGCCGAAAAAAGCAAGAGCTACTCATCAAGACAGGCCAGTGGATCAGTCAACCGCTTAGCGCCATGAACCCGATGAGTTCGATGAATCCCCAGATGGCCGGTGGCCAGATGGCAAGTCCGGGATCCATCGGTCTACAGGGCCAACTTTCTGGCCAGGCAAACCAACCCATGTCTATATCGATACTGCAACGGGCGCGCTCCGTAGAGATTCCATCGTCGGGGCCCACTATGGGTTCAGGGATGGCTGGAAATGCTGCAAGTAAGTGCTAGTGCATCGAGATAATAGCTAAGTCATCACTCTCCTTAAACACTGCGGTTAGATTAGCTACTAAAAATTAGCCATATCTCGCTTTAGCTATCTCCATAGTATTTCAATAGTTCGAGGGTGGTGGCTCCTTGAAAAAGGCAAGATAAGAACAAAAGCAAACGCACAGTTTATTTCGTGGTGGAAGAAACCGTGTCGTAGTCGAAACATTAATTTCAGCCATTAGAATCAGCTAACGCTCGATACTAGCTATTAATTGCGATGGACCAACTTTACGGATTTCCTCAACTCAAGAGCAAAACCCACTGTATAACGTTACAGTTGCTTGGTTTGCCTTCTTTAGATGATACCAACGATCATATAGAAGTATAAGTTCATTTTTAGTAAAATACCCATATGAACCTCTAGATCATTAAGGCTAATATGTGTGTGTGTGGGAAAAGCCTGGAGCCTAGCGTTAGCTGGCACCATGGGTTGCCTATTCGTTGGGCCGAAAAGCCGGGCAGGTACTGCGTCTACTACTTCGTGATAGGAGTCATAGACGGTGGCTCACTACTCCAGTACCCTCGTTCCCAAAAAAGGCAACAGCAGGCGATTCCTGCTGCTTTGTCAGGTAATTTGTTTTTCGAAAATACGTGTGCGTGTGTGTGTTCTACTACAGAAGAATACGATGATCTCAGTCTTGAGATGGCCACCTCATCGCTACGAAACGGACGTCTCATTCCGTGGACGACCGGCTCCGTGGGGGCACGGCATGAAGAGCCCCGGTTACGAAAAGAAATAAAGTGAGGCAACGTGGTACAAGGACCCAACGAAGCGGCGAGGCACGCGACCAACCTGGGGAGTGTATCCTGCATGTTCTGACCTCTTCCCGGTGATGGTGAACAGCCCCGCCCAAATAGCACCGTGCGGTAGCCAGCAAAAGAATAAGAGAGAAAGCATCGTCATCCAGGGTCAACCAGGTTGAATTGTTTGTCCTGAGCGTCCGTCTGCCTCTTGCTCTTGGCCATGGGTTTCTCATCTCTCTTCATCTGCGGTGCCCCTAGTGAAGCACGCACCTCCAGGAATTCGTCGCGATTCTTGTCGCTACGAGCGAGACCGAGAATAGCAGGCTTTTAACCACTCAACCTACGATCCTCTAAACGTGCGTCAGATAAAGGTTGTACTGCTCCACGGCTGGGGGGTCGTCTCTGTTGGATAAGTCCTCTTTGACGGTGTCGCTGCAATACTAGTAACAAAACCTCCCGATTACCACTACTCATTCTAATCTTTTAGCCCCTATGCCGTTCTCTCCTTTACTTACATCAGTTGCTCCGGAAACGGTGGCCGGCCCTACAGACCGGCCATGAATGGCCTCATCGCGTTGCTCCGAGAGGCATCGCACTGGCGCTACCTCTGGAGTGGTGGCGACTACTAACCCGCTGACCTCCCTTTTGTGTATTGCTCTTGGCGACTGACTTGACCAGCCACCGGGCGGAGGACAAGCTTTTGGAACGAAGCCTGGGGCTCTCTGAAGCTGGTTTTTTGTTCCGAGATGTTTGGCCCCCAACAGCAGCGCCAACATCGGAAGTAGAAACAGTGACGTCGGCTGGGCGTTCCGAACCGCTGCTACTACTGCTTTATCCTATCTGCCCCCCCCCCCCCCCATCCCCGGGTGGTCAGGGTGGTGTCGCCAAACCACGAACTCTGTCAGCGAGGCAGAGCCAGGCGGTCGCACGAAACCGACGAAAGACTGACGTGTTTCTGTTGACGTGGTCGTTGGGTGGATGGCAAGGGGAAACAAGCGGCGGGGTGGGTTAATTAAGGGATGGTGTCGCCGATGATCATGTAGTCGGCGGCGTTACCCCCCCCCCCCCGCCCTCAACAGAGAATGACGGCTAAAACAAGCTTTACTCAAAAATATCTATAATAGTTACGCGAAATCCACAAGAATTATCTTCGTTTATTTATTTTTTTCTTGAGATATTATATTTTCTTATAAAAACACTCATAAAGATAATGACGTCGCATGCAGCTGACATAACAAATACTGCATGTATGTAGGTATGTGTTTTTGCTAGTTTGATGGAAGTCACCTGACAGTTGGAGATCATGCATTGTACATCTGCTAACGTGCCAACAGATGCGCTAACTACTACCACATAAAATGCCGAATTTCACATTAACAGACATAGAGACTCTCCAACTATCAATGGCTTTTTGGCCAGTCCTCTAATATATATATATATATATAGGGCGGGGCAAAACAGACACTTATATATATATCAGCCAGAATAAATAGGAATGCTTACTTGATAGATATGGAATACATTTGACCCCATTAGTATCTCATTCTTCTCCGCTATTTTTTTTTTGTCCTTTTATCGTACATGTTCAAGCTCAATCTATTTCAGCAGTTACCCATTAATTTTTTCAGGTATGGCCACCACCGCCGGTGGAATGGGTGGATTGTGGCGGGGTAGAATGGGAAACAGTTTCAATGAGTACGATCCGTATCAGCAACAGAATTTAATGATAATGAATCAGATGCAGCCAATACAAAACCAGATACAGATCCCAGGTTCATTCGGGTACTCAGCACAAAGTCGGCGAGGCGAGTTCAGAAGGCAATTATCAGCAGGTAGGTAGCTTTAAGGCTTCTTATTCTGGTCGTTTTTGATTTATCTATTTTCAAATGAAAATAAATAGTAGAATGTCAAAAACGATTCAGTTTTACGTAAATCTAGTATATTCACGTCTTTTCGACTTTTTCCACAAAACGGTGTTATATAGTTTAGGAGTAATAATCTCCTCTTAGATAATTCGAACTTGCGACGAGGGTGTCTCGCAGGTCTTGATATTTTTTCGAGACACTCAAAATACGGAAATCTTAAAAACGTGCATGTACTCAGAGCAAATGTTTAGCTCTAGCTACTATACCTGAACAATATTGGGACCCGTAGTAATTAGCAGGTTTTTATTCCTCTGACGGTATTTCACAATTAGTGGAAGCAATAAAACTCAGTATGTTCAATTCAGGCCTTCAACATAAGGACGCAAACGTTCCCGATATTGTTCTTACTGTTTCGGCCAAGAATACTTCGTTTCCATGAACGCCTTACCGAGATTCTGTTCGATACAATAGGCCGTTTTGCTCAAATCATACTTACAAAAGCACGTAATAGCTTTATGTCTACAGAGAAATCCTAGACAAAGGCTACCCTCTGATACCCACTTCAGAGCTGCGTCGTCACCCTATTATCACGAAAGCACTCCTTAGCGATTTCATATACTATTCGCTAAAACCTTATGATTCTTTTCCTTGTCTACTCTAGGCTACGCTGAATGCTATACTCCGTTCACAGCTGTCACATATATAGCCCTTTCCGAATCACTTAGGTAACTTGCCTGCATTTCACGGTCTCCACGACAGGTAACGCCGAACAAGGTGGACACTACTACCAGCAAGCATACGCGCAGCAAACACAACAAGTAACACAGGCCCAGTCTCATCAAAACCTCTCGCAGGCTGGGCAACAATCAGGCGGCTTCGGAGTGCCCCTCTTGAAAAATTCCACCGCCAATCTGTCCAATTCTTTTCAAACCTTGTTTTCTCGGCCTTTCGGTAAGTTTGTTCGCGTTAGCCAGATCGTAAGCGGCACACAGGCCCTCTTATGCTCTCTGTACGTTCGCGTACTAATAGACGGATCAAAAAAACGCGATACCTCCTTGTGTTAGCTATCGTATCGTAGCTAAGCGCACTTTGCTTCTTGGCTGTCTTCTTTGCCGTTTATTGATAATGATTAAAAGCCACGCTTAATGCACGCGAATCGTTTAACGTACTATTAGATTAGATAGGACCACAAAAATGGACAGAAGTGAGCGAAGGCTTCACAGCCACATGAACAGTCACAAGAGGAATGGCGATAATCCGTAGCCGCTTCAGGACTGCGAACTGTAGCATGAGATACAGGGTGATGTGCTTGAAGAACAACATGCATTAATACGCTACTCCCGGTACCAGACGAGAGCCACCTTTCTCTTCTACAATAAACCAGTAAATTCATCATGATGAACAAAATTGGAGTCGAAGTCAGCTCTCATACGCGCTAGACGATTTCCTGTTTCACCTGAAATCGACAGCCTACATTATTGCCAGTTTTTAATACACCCTATGTTTGACATTGAAGCTAACGATTGTTTCAAAGAAAAAGAGCACGGTTTGTTAATAATACATTGTCCATATAAGCTGCAATGGTAAACGGCTTCAAGAATTTTTGGACCGTTCAAGCATCTTAGCTGTTTCGAATCCCCTTGCATTTTTTCGAACCCTTGGCTTGCCGTCAGCACAAAACCTAACCCCGCTGGAACTTTCCGTGTATGGCGTATTTAAGTGAAACTTTAAATATACATCTCTCAGTATGGTTTGACGCACGATTACTACTAGGAAATTACGTGAGTTAGTGAACGAATATCTTGAAAATTCTAACTTGTAGGTGATTTAGGTTTAGAACTGAAGCTGTAGGTGGTAATGATACAAGACAAACAGTTACCGTCGGCAACAACAGTTCTTTTTGAAATACTCATTTTGCTTAGATACAGTGTAACGGACAAAGTAGGAGAAAAGTCCTCATTTTAGATTTCCATCTTGTATATAGAATACATTCGAAATTATGCTGACGCTTCAGCGCCGTAGGAACATCTCGAAATCAATAACGTAACTTGTTTCGTCTACAAAATGGCTATTAGTACAAGTTAACTTACGAAATGTCCTGTTTTTAATATCGTTAGTATAGTATGTGGTATCGATCCTGGGAAATAAATCGTTGCAGTATAATTGCAGCATAAATAAATGACTGCAGTGTAAGCCAGTAGTATGACCGCTTGCACGAGCACTGAAAATCGTGATATTGTAACTATCTGTGGCAGTGTTCTTTTTGAGGACAAGAGAAGGCTTTAATCTCTGCCTGAATCAGATTATTTAAATTCAGCTGTGCAAACAAGTACATCACGTATAATAAAGCCTCAGTATATTCGTAGGTGAAAGTGTTCGGAGTACAGAATGACTGTTTTCTTGACATCAAAGGCGAATGTATCAATGAACGTATTGTAAATATTGTTTTAAATCTTGTACTCTACCGTAGATATCGTTTTAAAAAAGTTATACTTCAGTGTGGTGCTGATGTACTATAGGAGAACCGATCTGATAGCTTGTCTCAGTAATCTGGAATACCAAAATCCCCTCACATATGTACATTTATTAAAATTATATCTCGTGGCCATACGAAGATTAAAAGCTGTACTGCTTTCAATACTCAAGCATCAACAAACGCTATTAATCGTAATAACGGTTTTAATCGAATATTCATTCGTTATGGTATTTTAGCTTCTTCTGATCTATTTTAGCGAGTGTCCACCTCTCTTAGGCATTCATTAACAGTATAACTTGAAATAACTTATTATAATATAGTGCCTGGCCACAGACCAATACAACATAAATGTTTAACATAACTAGATAGGCTTTGTCCTGCCGCGTCTTCGCCTGTTGCTGACGCGCGTTCTCCCGTTGCCTCTTATCGACTTCCAGTCTTTCGCTTTTATTTTCTCACACTTTCTATCTCCATTTTCCATTCTCTGTTGTGTGCAAATCTATATTGCTGTTTTTTTTTATCTCTCTCTCTCTCTCTCTCTCTCTGTCTGTCCGTCCGTGCGTCGCTCCACCGTTCTTTATTCATCGCGTCGCGTACCTGTATGCGGGCATTGTCTACTTCGACCTTCGTTGCGACGATCGCCTGACTTGACCCGACCTAAACTGAACCTAACTTGCCGAAACATATATCGCTAATTTTCTCGGACCCGGCGACGCACGCACTGAACCTATCGCCATCTTCATCTATGCATCTGTTCTCATTCACGAACGCGGGATAATGAATGAATACGCGTTGCTCTGCCGACCATCGTTCGCTGCCTCCGGTTTATCGCCGATGATCGCGACATCTTCGCTTGGCCTTTATCTGACCTTTGCCTGATTCGGATTGTCGCGCGGAAGCAGGCAAGGGTCAACCACAGCAACAGCAGCAGCAGCAGCAACATATGCAGATACAGGCCAGTTCGGTCGGTTACAACCCGGCCGGCCCATGTGGGCCAATGGGTGCAACCGTTTCCCAAATAGGCATTCCGGGGGGGATGGGGTCGGCTGGAATCCTCGATCCAACGTTCCCGGCGGTGCTCGGCTCGCACCCGAATTTGACGAACCCCGGTGCAACGGCTGGAGGGATGGCTGTACCTGGTACTGGCAGTCTCGGGAACCAGTTGGCCGTGACGAATGCGCGCACGAGGGGCGGTATGCTGAGGAACGACTCTTTGAGTTCAGACCAGTCCCACGCTGAGCCCCATACCCATCAGCACCGTAGGAGACATAGTAGAAAGCTTGGAAAGAAGAAGAAGAGGTCGTCCACATCTGGCATGACAGCAGGTAGAGTGTACTCCCATTAGATGTTCCCTAAGGCTTAGTAATGGGAAATGCCGGTTACCTCTGCCCTGGTTGCCCCTTCACTCCGTCACTGAATCAGTCAACCTCTTTTCTTCTTATTCAACGAATTCTGTCTCTTTCTCAGTTTGTTTAGTTTTTCATTATGCATTGTTGTAGCTGCCCCTTCTATCACAAATTAAGCAACACACTTAGTGTTCGAGATACTTCCGTGCAATTAGTTCGCTATTCTATCTGACCTAGTTTACCTAAATCACGTGACAGCGCGCCAAATTTGAATCGTTCAGGCCATTTGCTGGTTTTTGGTACAAGTGTCCCTGCTTGACACGTGACCCAGTGTCCGGTTTGGAATAAAAAACCTGGCGCTGTCCGTTTATGTTTATTTGTCTCTTTGTACCACTTTCTAAATGAATTTAACAACGAACCCACAAGATGGCTATTGTTAGTTCGTTGTTGTACGAAGTGCCGATTCTTAGGAACTGCGGCATCATAATATAACGCGTTAAAAAGTTTGACTCTCTTTCGATTTTATTCCGAATGTAATTGGGTAACAAAAGCAGAATGCTCAAACATATAAAACCTATACGTGGGGGAACATGAGATCTGTGAAGACGACCGTATAAAGGACATTAATTAGGAGTATAAAGGAATTAGAATTGGAAAGATTACTGATTATTGAATCAATTAGACATGGTCGATTTCTATCTGCTAAATCAAACGAAGCCCCTTCCTCATCAAAAGGCCGACAATGTTCTACAAAATATCCTATGCGGAACCTACAAATCCTGAAATTAAATATTATAAAACGGTGACATGATATGGGTCCGAAGATTCAGGTAAATGCACCTTACAATATAATAGCTTTAGTAGACTTGTCAATCGTTCTACAACAATGCAATCTGCTGAATAAACCCGGAATGAATCCTATATAGTCCCTTGTAGTTCCGTCTTTTTGTCGCTTCCAATTTTGTCGATTTTCGTTCGGCTCGTTGTCCTCTGATGGAACTTGTAAAAGGAAATTGGTTTTTCATAGTTTGTCATAAGGTTTATTTCTAATAGGATGCGCCTTTGTTCGTGCGTGCAATATGTTTACAGGAATACGAACATCGGCTGGACCTCGCAGCCGAAGTTCGTCCGATGAAGAGTTGCACTCGGACTGCTCCTCGTGTGGAAGCATCGAAGATCTTGACTGTGACTATAGGCGCGAAGAAATGTTGGATGCCAAGATCAAGAAGTTCTTAGCCAATCCCGTCTCCTGGAAGCCTTCGACGACGAATCCTGAAATTCTCATCGGTACGTGAAAGGTTTATAAAAAACAAAAAAATACTAGAAATTGTTGTAAGTTAAATATGTATTTGTTTGAAAACCGTATTTGTAAGGAATAAAAGGCGCTCATTGAATGATATTACGTAAACCGAGAAATACACAGCATGGGTCAAGAAACTGTCCAGGTTTCTTAGATTTACGTCACTTTTAGTACTATATATACATCGCCGCTGATCTATTTGTTTTGCTTCGATCGTTTTCCTCATCATGCCATTCATGGTGTATTTCTAAGCTTGGTTCTGCTTTCCGCATTCCGTAGGTCATATGATATTGAAGAAACTGCCATCGGGCCTTGGAAGTCAAACAGATAACGCAGCTCAAATGTTAGGTTTAAAGGTAGTAGGCGGCAAGATTCTTCGTAATAGCCGTAGCAACAAGAAGCAGCTCGGAGCGATAATCGAACGAGTCAAAAAGGGCAGCATCGCCGATGTGGTTGGTCACCTGAAACCCGGAGATCAAGTGCTTGAATGGAATGGGCGTTCACTGAAGAACAAAACATACGAGGAGGTCTTCGAGATTATACTGGCTTCCAGCCAGGACCTGCAAGTCGAGTTGATCGTCAGTCGACCGTTAGTTGATGGGGAAGATGCTGAAGACCTCCGCAAGGAGGTACGTCGGCATTCTTCAGCCGCTCTATCGGCCAGCCAGGCGAATGCGACTGGTAAGAGAGCCGATTTTTTGCGCAAGACCTGCTCAACAACGTATCTGCCGCCAAGTTCAGTAGGTGGCAGTGCCATGGGCGTAGGTGACGGTATCAGCTCCCTCAGCGGTATGGCCGGTGACGTCGTCAGTGCGTCCCGTCGACGATCGATCACTTCGCTGGCTTCTCTTGGCCACGAGGTACTCGCGGGCCGGATCCAGATCAAGCTCTGGTACGACGCAGCCCAGCTGCAATTGGTTGTGACTGTCGTCGGTGCGGCGGATCTGCCTCCGCGCCTGGTGGCTACCGGACATTCGGGTAGCCCTTCCTCGATGAACCTTGCCGAACCCCGAAATCCTTACGCCAAACTCTTCCTCCTGCCTGACAGGAGTGAAAAGTCGAAGCGGCGAACAAAGACAATTGCCGACTCGAACGAACCCTACTGGAACCAGACGTTTGTCTATTCGCCGTTGCGTCGGTCCGACCTGATGCAGAGAGCGCTCGAGGTAACCGTCTGGGACTATGACCGATACGGCGCCAATGATTTTCTTGGTGAAGCCGTAATCGATTTGGCCAATATCAACATTCCCTTCCAAGACGATATCAACGAAGATGGCGACTGGTATCTTTTATCAATGGTGAGTAGCAACAACAGTCGTATCCGGTGAATCCGGCTAACTTGAGCAAGCAAATATACAAAACGTAGGGCAAACGGGTACATACGGGTGAAAGTTGGGAGAGGCATAAACTTATAATTAAGCGAGGGTTATGTAGTTAAAAAACTATGCATATACAGGTGAGCTGGCCGGGTTTAAATTACTAAGCACTCTTTTGTTGTTTGTCTTCCATATATCGAACAAATAAAATTTTTTACCGATTTAAAATCATTAAAACCCGATATTATTTTATTATATATTGTATACCAATATTATAACCGATATTCTAATGAATGAAAACAATTCAGCCGTGCGAAGTTACATAACTTTGGATTGTTTTGTTATTGTCAAACCGTAGGAGTCGAGTAGATATAACGGCACGGTAAGCGGCGGCGTGGGAAGTGTCACGTTGGGGGGCAGTGTTAGCGGGCATACGTCGTCTGCGTCAGCCCTGCGCGCGACTCCCCGGTCTAGTTCGGCTATGCTCACCACAAGAAGACTCATGACCTCCCCTTCCGCAAGGTGGTAAGTTTGAACGCCGTACGAGTTTAATCGGACTTTTCAACAGAGTGCTATGCTTCTATCCACTCTCTGAACAACTGTTCCTATACTTATTTTCTATAGATACATTGTAATTTCCATCGGCATCAGATCGTTTAAAACGAATACATAAACGTATTATTACACCCAAGTGCAAGATGTCTATCAAAGCGTGCCATATTGTAAGCATCGCCATTGACATGTTCGATGTTGTGTTTCAGCCAACATACCTTACTTACATTATTGTCATTTTGTTATTATTGTTGTTATTATTATTTGACTATTTGACGTTTGCTGCAGGTATTCGGAGGGGGAGGAACTGAGCGAGTGGGAGGCCGCTTCCCTGGACGAGTTTGAATGCCAGCAGCCTTCGATGTACCTGGATTCATCCGGTAGACACAGACAGAGGGTCGGAAGTCTTGACACGCTCAATCTTCAGTCGGGTCAGGGTGGGTTCTCGCGGCGGAGGCCTTCATTCGGTCGACCCGGCCTACTCGGCCATCGTGGGGACACGTCGTTTTTGCACGCCGCAGAATCTATCGGGCCTCACGGTGGCCATCTTCCATCGCATCACGGGGGTGCCGGATTTCAGCAGAGTGGCCAACAACTATTACAGCAGCAGCATCACCCTGGCAGCAGTAGCAGCAAACATCACCACAACACTAAAGCTTCCGTTTTATTACGAGGTGGGCTTGTGCGCCAAGTAGACGAATGTGCACGGTTCCTTATTAACACTGCACGCACGCGTCGCATAGTAGATTAAGTGTACTGTTTAACTGGAAGGTCTGTGCAGTTAAGATAGAAAAACAAATAGAAAGCTGGCGATGCAGTTAGAGTAAATTTGGGATTTGGTACCATGTAAACCCATTTTATCTCAACACGTACAGAAAGCATAGCCGACTCGCATTGAAGCAGTCCTGATTTTTTGTTATTGCACATCGTGGAGAGCTTGCCTTTTGTAAACAAGAAAAACTGGATATAAATGTTTCCTATATTTTTCGTTATTAACAACCAATCAGGTGGTATAAATTGATATTTGTATTCAAGTATTTTATTTAAGTATCGAATTTGTTATTAAAATTACTCCCTAATTATAGTCATGCCAGACTCTAACCTGGTATGGTTCTTACTGGTGTTTTTGTTGGCCATCATCATTATTGCAGGTTGCTCATTAGAAGAAGATGAATATCAGCATCAAAGTGATTCACTTCAGCTTTCTACAGGAGGCTCGAATTTATCCCTAAGATCACTATCGCCTCCGAGAACATTTCGGTCCGTAATCTTCCATTTTGCCCGGCTATTTACTGGCTTTCATAGCAAAGCTGGCGCATCAATCATCATGCTACGTGGAAATCGCCACTGTCCAATAGATTAAAATAGTATACCTTATAGCTAGCACCGTACTTATTATGAGCCGTATCCGATGAAATGAAAGCCTATCTAACAGGAGTGCAGAATTCCTTCATACATAGCGGGACAAGGATTATCATGATATTTTTTTTCTGCCAGCTTTGTCGAGGTTTCTTAGTACTTAATCTAGACTAATAGATAATTAGTGAGTACATATAAGCCACCAGAAGGACTCGAGACATTTTTAGGCGATTTGCCATTACTATGCCATATTAATGACAATGATCTGCTTAGACAATTTTCCCCATGTAATGTATTGCATGCTGTCTCTGATTCAGGCTGGGTAATAAAAATAATAATAATATATTACTATCCACAATATAATTTTTTATCCACTTGCAACTAATAGATCCGTTTGACTTCCATGTCTGCTCGACGTTCCTGCTACTCTTTTATACGGGTACCTTGACGATTCTGTCGTCGTCGGTCACACACTGCAGATCAAACTCTCCAACTTATTCGCTGTCACACGAGACGCTCATTGGCCAAAAGAGGCAGTTGCCTCCCGTTCCTTCTAGGGGCCAGTCGTTCGGCGGCCCCTCGGATCGAGGCCGATACGTGCCGCTACAGCGCGGAGATCAGAGCACACTCGACCTCGAGGAACGTGCGCGACAGATCAAGGCTCGCATGCGGCGGGCCTCACGCGTAGGTGCGTGGTGGTTTTGTAAGATGGCCTACTAAAATCCTCGCAGGAACAGAGAGAAAATTTCAATATTATTGTTATTATTAATACTTTTTATTGTTATCGTTGTCCACATGAATTTTCAAAAAGAGAAAATTTAGGTGACCGACGACAGTCAAAATTGGAAATAGGATGGCGTCGTATGTTTGACTATATGGTGGGAAATGCTAACTGGACGATGGTAAAGACACGATATTGGTTAAAATTGCTCTTATTTATGTTTTCCACTTGAAAATCACTTAGGTTTAATGATCCTTCGTGGTTAAGTAGATTCACTTTTGGTAAGCGGTCATCCCTAAACAAGTCGATAAATTTATTTTGTAAAAAACTGTAGCTCGTCAAGCAATATTGTAACTTGACGATTTTGCATTGATTAATAAGACACACCCGAATATGGCAAAAAGATATCCTTCGTCGATTCTCAGGGAGATGCTATGTCGGGAATACCGGTTTTAAAGTTTTCTTTTGACCCCCAAATGACCCCTGTGCCCCTAACCGAGGTTCAGAGCGTACTTTTGGTCCACGTCTAACACGACTGTGCGCGATTTCTACCATTTACTTTACTCCTATTTTTCGGATGTACTTCTACGATCGTTTTAATTTTTTGGCCATTCACGTAAAATCTTTATTGGATCGCTCACCTCTTGAAAATGAGTGGAATAAATTGCGCGATTATCAGTAAATGCATGTGTTCTCCGTGACGCACATTATATGCACGGTGTCTCCCTAAGTATGAATCTTTCGGCCATATTTTGCCCGTATGCACCAGATGTCTTCCTGCTAGTTAACTGTTTCTCACTTTATTTATGTTCTTCGGTGCCTGGTTCTCTTTGTCAGTACTTTTAAGGCTTCTTTTTTACCTCTCGCCTTCTGTTTTAATAGTATTCCTTATACCCTTTATAGGCCTGCGTTTCTGGCGCTTTATTGCAGCGTCGTTGTGAAAACATTCCACAGTTTTCCCTTTAGCGGAAAAACAAATGTCCAACAACGGCGAAACACTGCTGTGAAATTATATTTTTGTTTGTACATAGGATTTTTCCCCAAAAAAAAACAAGTACGTTTTTGAGGATTGTAGCCGTCTGCAACGCTCGTGAGTTTGTCTTTCGTAGTTGAGCTGGCCTGAATACGTGGATAAAGTCGGACTTATTGATCGACTAAGTAACGCGATTGTTTGAATAACATTTATGAGCGGCTGAATGGGTTCGACACGCTGCAGTTGACAATTGCCATAGCAATAGTGCAAGTTAGATAAATAGCGCAGAAAGATTTGATTAATGGATACTAATGAGAACGACGCCACTTTTCCCGGATCCATGTCTACTACTGGACTGATCTGAGATCTTGTCTGACTTCATAAAGAACAAACATGTTTACGCGCGTCGTTACCGCACCCTGCGGCAAACTAATTTAACCTCTTTGAGTACATCGCCCAGGCAGTTTTTCAGATACATGCAGTATATCATACAGTTTCTCCAGATCTAGAAAGTTCATTCAAGTTTTTAACATTTGCGGGTGAAGTCATACTTCATAATATGCACCGGTGCGATACCTCACTTGACAAGCGGTACTGCCAGATTCCTAAGCAGCTTTACGTGCACATATTTAGCGTTATTGAATAATTAAACTATGACGTGCACAGATCGGGTATGGTTGGCTGTAAAATCGTCAGTATTTTAAGTGATACTTTACTAAGGAGTACTTTAAGTATCGCTGAGCAAAAGGCAGGAAACACTAGACTCTCTGGGTTAGTAAATCCGTGAAATATGGGCATAATATTGCACTTTGGCCTATATTACTCTGTTTTTTTTTATGAATCGGACTTCCTCCTCCAACTATAAGGTTGTATCGACGGCTGTTTTTAGGCCTTTTTTTCAACCGTGGAGAGAATGGTGACCACTCGTCTCAAATGGTTGACCTTTAAAAGTCGTCTGTGAATTGTATCTTCCACAGGATTATATCGTCTTTCCTTCCCATCTAGTTCATAGCCGATCGAAATAAACAACGAAAAATGATTGTAAATTATTTTCTGGGTAACTAAAGTTCGCCAACGAAAACACATCAGAGATCACGATAGTAATGTGTAATCTTGTTGTAGTACATTTCTTGCCTCACATATTCTGGTGTTTGCCATGGAAATAAATGCACTGGCTTCACTCGTAACTACTGAACGGCATTCAGAATTGCACATAAGGCTAACATCATACGGACAAAGCGCAAGGTACGAATAGTAATTTTGGCCTTATGGTTGTGTTCCACCTCTCTCTCTCCACCTCTCCAAGCTGCCTCTCTTTGTACCTGCGGCTGTTGCAGCTGCTGCTATTCTGCCAACGTTTGACTGCACAACGCAGATGGCGATAGCTATTTTAGCGGCCCTTCTAATACTGGTGCCTATCCGTCCATGAAATTAACACGTTATATGCTATTATTTGTATTATGCCTATCACCAATCCGCATCGCGTCCCTCATTTCGTCTTGTTACACCACGCCACCGTTGTTATTGTCATCGCTTCCAATTGTCACCTTTACTATCATCGATTGGCATCATTAACGGGTCTTTGGATGCCCCTCTTAAACCGTTATTACAGGACCAAGCCCAGTATACGCATCCGACTCCGAGTTAGGAGTGCAGAGCTCCTCCTACTACTCAGAGAGAGAAAGAGATCGCATGGACCACTACGGGGACCAGATCAGCCAGCGAGGCAGGCCGGATAGAGATCGGCACCGTGAGTCTTCGCTTGATCGCTGGGAGCAGCCGCATGTTCGCCAACAACGGGCAGACCCGTATCGACGAGACCCGCGGGACATGCGCGACCTTCCTCACGGCCATTCACAGCAACAGCACTCGGAACATCATCACCAGCAGCAGCACCAACGCGAGTCTAGCGTCTCGTCACTTCAACGAGAGCCTCTACATGAGCACCGGGAACACCGAGATACCCTGCGGGAAAGGGAGCTTCGCGAACGCGAACTCGATCGTAACCGCGATCCTGGTCGCGACCCGTGCGGCGGCCGAGACCTGCATCGCGACGGGCGCGGCATCGAGAGCGGAAGTCGCGGATCGCTACAACACCGCGCGTCGTTCCAGCAGGAGCGAGGCGATGGACGCGAACGAGAAGGCTCAATCATACACGAATCCGTTGCCTCCAGACACTCATCGTCGTACCAGCGGGGCCTGGAATCAGGCCGAGAGGAACGAGACAGCCGGGACCACGTAAGCAGTAATCGGGATCAGCATCATCGAGACAGCAGCGCCAGCATTAGTCGACTTGCAGAGAGTGAACAACCGTACGATCAGCATCGCGGCAGCTTCGATAGGACCAGCAACAGAGAGCAGCACATACAGCAGTCGTCACACCATTCACAGCAGCAGCAGCATCAATCACGAGGGTCCATGGGTTCGGCAACTGCAGCCGACCAGTATTCGCAGCAGCATCAGCAACAGCAGCAGCACCACCACCACCATAGACAGAGCCTGTCCCACTCGCATGCCCCCTTCTATGGGGATTCTCCTCAACGGGAGCGGGAACGAGAGAGGGAAAGAGACCCCAGATCTAGCGACCCGCCGATCCATCATCATCAGCACTACCAACACGGATCGACACGGCTCCACGACGATGGCCGGGACCGCTCAGAGCGGGACCGAAGTCAGTCGGCGTACTATTCGGACCGTGGCCTGGAGTCCGATGGTTCTGAAACAAGCTCTGTGATATCGAAGCTGAGCTCTACCACCCAGTCGGAGGCGCTGCATCGTGGCCCCTCGGACCGGCGGCAGAGCTCGGGCCAACGCGCTAGTCAGCAGACTTCGCGGACTCTCTCGGAGTTCACGCTCCAGAAGAGCCAGGGCGGACCTGTCCACCCGTTGTCCTCGTCTGGCCGAGGTTCGTCTAATGAGTCCTCCTCGATGTCGATGACAATGACTCGGGAAAGCCGGGAAAGCTATGTCGGCCTTGGGGGAAGGGACGCCGGTCGCGGGGGCGACCGTAGGGATGCGGTCGGCCGAAGGGCCGAGTCCATTGAAGAGTCCACGCGCACCTCCTCCCAGTCGGTCTCCGAGGCTAAGGAGGGCTCTGAAGAGGGGTCCCTCTCCGATACAACCACTGCCAACGAAGAAAAACTTGGTAAGTAGGACACGCGGAAATAGGGTTCGGACAGCATTAGGAGGGTGCAGGAGATAGATAGGCTGGGCGAGTTAATCCTTTGTGGGCGTAGGCTGGGTACACGAAACGAGCTAGAGAGATGAATGATGAGGCGTTTCAGTTTTGCTCAAAGTGAAAGGGTGTGTTGCATTCGGCTCAATTCAGATGCAAAGAGTTGATTTCATGTAGTTATTTTGTAATCATATGATATTGACGGGCCTGAGATGCAGTGGCGGCTTATGTGGTCTACTACCCATGTCGCTGGGATATATGGAACGTGATCGTTGGCAACATTACTGCCTTACTAGACTCTACATAAAAGTGACTAGATGTAAGGCACAACTGTAGGAAGATTTGCCGGGTACACATACGTGGCGTGCCAATCTTTCATTGGGTATCTCAAATCTCAGTCGGAATTCGAATATATTTAATTACTATATTATGTATAGGAGGTAACCAGCGATGTGTCATGATATGAGCAATTGCGCAATAACATGGCCTAATTATAGACTCTCTTGTGTGACTGTTCCCAATGATGCTGCACGACTTATTATAGGTGGAAGTTCATTCGAAATCGCTGACACATCGCCCTATTCTACATCACCCTATGCAAATGCTAAAATTAACCAGTCGCAGGCGGCCGCGACTCCGCAGCAGAAAAGTAAAGGAGCTCGATTAGGTTTCAGAAACAGGCGCAAGAATAAAGTTGGCCGGGGTGTCCATCGCTCCGAAGAGGTCAGTGTTTCTTTTGACGAATTGGGCATAGAAAGACTTAATATTATGAAAGCAATAGGCTGTCGTTGTTGATGCGGATGCTGCTCTAACTGCGCTTAATTTTTTGTCCATTTTTTCCCACTGTAACTTTACTTTTCTATCGAATCGGTAGAGGTACAGATATTAATTGTTGAAAATGTTCTGACAGTTTTTTCCAGCTAGATGGTTTCAAGGTTACATATCTCAGCTAATTTGAAGCATGTTGAAACAACATTAATGTGATTTAAAAGCCACTAGTAGATATAATTGTAGATATAGTCAAACGCAAGGCGGAGCACCTTCGAAAATTCGCTGTACTTTTTAAGATTATAACAACAGAGGCATAAATAGTGCTCAGGCCGATAAATATATGACTGTTTATGGTCAAGATGCGTCGTCGAGAGAAACGGCCTTAACCTGGTTCTGTCATTTCCTTCCGGAAAATTTCTACCTGAAAAGTATTCTCTAAAGTAGTCGATTTGCCACGAAAAATGTTGGCGGAGATGTTGCGAAACTGAGGCAGGACTAACATGTGCGCGGCTTTGGCATCCATCCAACTAAACGTCCATCATCAGACATTTGATAACGTTTGAAGAAAGCTGACTAGAAGAAAAGCCCGATGTTTTGGTGCTACATTAATTAAAAAAAAACATTTTACTTTAGCTCTATATGCGAAACGCTAAAATAGATGTAACGAACGGGTGATAAAAATTAGCTCACATACGGTAATAACGTAGAACAAATAAAAGTGCTCCGTAATCTATGGCAAAGCCATAGACTAACCTCAAACAAATTGGCTATATGTGGATTATGAATGTATCAGGAATTGTGCATTATGACTTGTTGGCGCCTGGTCAAACAATTGACTCGGACCTCTGCGGTCAACAATGAACAAAAGTTACAAAAAATCCATTTAAAAAAGGTTACTGGAACTAGTGGACAAAAAAGGCGCTGTTTCTATCTACGACATACGCCTTTAGCTATTTGGCAAACATTAACTTAAATCGAAAATTTTAATGCATCCAACGTATAGCCCAAAAGCTTGCATCGTTAGACGATCGTCTTTTTCTCTTTCTGCAGAACTCTCTTAATGGCTAACATTTTTCTGCCCAGAAGTTACAGGAGTTCTACAATGATGATACTATGTTTTTTGATATATTGAGTTTAGTGATATTATTTTATGGTACAAAAAGTGATCTTCTTCCATCTAGGGTAAAAGCGGTCAGTCTTTTTCGACAACTTAATATTGAACATAAGTTTATGCAGAGACGCTAGCAGTTCAATAAAAAAAAAAAAAAAAAAATTTTAATCGTTAGCAAAAGCACAACTTTTGCATTTGTAAACTCTGTTTTAAACCTTACAGAATTAGGAAAAACTGGATCTATTAATGCAATATGTATAGTTTCTGCAACAATGTCTAATAGCAACAACAGCTCTTTTTTTTTACCTATTTGCTTTGTTTTATCACAAAGCGAATTTATCCAGTTGAATTATTACGGTAATAATTCTGAGTTTATATACTCCTAGTGCTTATCCTATAGAACGTTCGTTTGCATCATTCTCATGTTTATATACCTCAACTTCCGCAGGTTGCGCCCGACGAAGTGCGTCACCTCGTTAGACAGGCAAGCAGTGTGTCCTCAGATGGAGAAGGCTCGCTGTCCGGGGACTCAGCCACGACCTGGGGAGCGTCTTCCGTACGGGGCGCACCCTCAGTGACGTCCGTAGCGGGTCCCATAGTTTCGGGTAGTATTGTTGAAGGCTTGGGTCCCGGCCAGATCGTCGGCCGCCAAACCCTGTCTAGTCCTAGCCTAGGAGACATCCAAATGAGTTTCTGTGATAGGAAAGGCAACCTAGAAGTAGAAGTGATCCGGGCGAAAGGTCTACAGCCACTTAAAGTTGGCCCTAACGCCCTTCCAGCACCCTGTGTCAAGGTATATCTAGTGCGTACGACAGGCAGTGTCGGCAGTGACGCAGATCAAAGCCCTCAGGGGGTTGGAAGGGCAGGTCAGCTGCCCATCGGCACCCAGACTATCGTGGCCAAGGCTAAAACCACCGCTGCTCGCAGGACACTCGACCCACTCTTCCAGCAACAACTCATTTTCCACGAGGACTACAGAGGCTGTCTTCTACAGGTAATACTACAAAAGTATCCGTTTTTCAATTTGCTAAACATAAAAGCTTCTTGATTTATTTAAATGTATTACTCAAAAAAAAATGAAAACTGATTTCTTCTTTGTATGCTAGGAGTATGTATGTTAGGAGTGAACACAGTGACGAACAGTTGCAGCCCTCATCCAACACATTTCCACTTTTGGCAAAGTTAAATTTTTAATTTTTTCAAAAATTCAGCAAAAATATCACTACTATAAATAAATACGATTAAATCAACTACCAATGACGAACATTTGCACCTACGCAAATACAAAAATAATAACGTATTTTTGATTTACCACAGCTAAAAAAATAATCAAGGATTAGCTTATCAAAATACACGTTTAGCTTGATATGTTTTTTTAGCTAATTGCCTATTTTAAAGTAAATTAAAAGTTATATAACTTAATTATAATATATTCGATTTTAGTAAAGGAAAGCGTCTGATTTTCCGCTACCTCCCATCTTCTGTTCCACTAGACTCAAAACTATTGTGTTCGTCGCATTTTTGAGTACGGTTCTCTTCTATGAAGTGTTTCTTCGATCATTCTAATTTATTTATCAGGTGACCGTGTGGGGCGATTATGGTAGTGGTGATAAAGGAGGAGAACGGCAGAGAACCGACAGAGTCGAACGGAAAGTTTTCATGGGTATGGCCCAGATTGCCTTGGATGACCTAGATCTCGGCCGAATCGTTATCGGTTGGTACAAGCTATTTAATCCGACTAGTGTGGTGAACGCGCCTTCGCAAGATCAGTAACAGGCAGGACCCGCACGGTAGCTAGCAAACGAGCAAGACAAACGGAATAATTTTAGTCGTCCGCAGAAAAACGCAACACAAGTTAACAACCTAACAGTCTAAGGACAGAGATCAGTTTTCCTTTGCTCCTACTCTGGCCCAACGATATCGAATCATTTCTGACTCAGACATTGCATCAACTATTATAACAACAGCCTACATTACATCAATAACAGGAAACAATATGTCGGATAAATGTGATTGACAAGGAGGCGATAGTGTATTGAGACGGCGCAGATACCGCGACAAAGCCACACGCAAAAAACGGTAAAAACAACAAAAAAAACATAACGTAACAAATCATAATAGTACTCCAAGAAAAAACGTAACATAAATATGATCACATATATGGCGGCCACATACTACTATACAAAAACCACAGGGAACCAGATATCGTACCAGAGAACGGCGTAGCTAATTATGGTCAGACAAGAGTACTTTGTCAATTCATGATACCCTGCCATTGCTGGATGTCGAATAAGCATACTAATCATAAATATAATAGTATCTTCGATATAGTAAAACAAATAAACACTAAAATATGTAGAAAATGAATGGGTTGAGCAGACTATAGCATAGAGACAAACCAACAAGAGGATACCTAAGCTGGATACAGTAAAGTAGAACGAATACTCCATCGAGAGGGAGCGTGTGTAATTGAGAAATAGGCATAAATGCTAAGCTATATAATCATAGCTAATTCACTATTAGCATAGAATAATGTAGCACGAAAACGATGAAACGGTGCAAAACAGTGTAACAGCAGTGATATCCTTCTGGATAGTGAACGAAATCCTATGAATGTGTATACAATACAAATGCAGCACGCCGATTGTCGAAAAAGCGACAGGAATTATTTCGAATATCTGTAAAGATAGAGGATCATTACTGCATCCATCGACTCACGTTCATACAAACACAGAGGCAAGCAGAGACGCGCTCGTCCATCATCGTGCGAGTCGCTATCTTCATTCTGATGGAAAGAGGGTATAATAAATGTGTCACTGTGATCGGTTCATTCTCATCACTCGAATCGTTCTATCCGTTTCTTCCCTCGACCTCGGCAAAGACCTCGCTTGATTAGACAGCCGGACTAGTGTGGATATAAAAGCAGCCCTCAGTGAGGTGCAAACTATTTTTTGTACTGATGATTCATTGATTGCTCTCTCATATTTGTCTAAAGTTCCCACGAGGTCCATTTTATTGGACAGAAAAAAAAGCGAAGAGATTCTAATAACAAACCAACAAATTGTACTTATGAAATTACACACAGTAATAACAAAGCAACAAAAGCAAGCTGACACACGTACCCGCCGCGTATCAACCAACATAACCGATTGTATGTTCATAAAACTAATACTGGTAATAATGATAGTAATAAAAGAGCAAAATAAATCTAACCATAATGGGTATATATATAAGCCACTAAAAGATATCTGCTAACGCACTTCAACAAACACGCGTACACCTAATAAATAGAAAAGACGGAAAACTATTGAACGTTTCTAGATAGGCGTAACTGCCGAATTATTATTGAGTTATCGAAGCTGATGATGTAAGTGGAACCACAAAAGACAAATCTTTCCTAAGAGTAACAATAATAAATATTGTAATGATAATTACCAGTCATAGTAATAATGACAGTGGTCATCATACTAAGTATGGCATAAATGTTAAAAACGGTAATCTTCATAGTTATATAACAATAGGGAGTCGAAGCGTAGTACGGATTTTCATAGAGCGCACCGTTAAATTCTGCAAACAAAGACTGCTAACGAATAAAAAAAGAGGAAATCAATTGGAAAACTTAAAAGCAAATATGTTTGAAGGGGAAGTCGTCCAAACGTCTGCCCCAACCATAATTACAGTACAAGCTGGCACAATAGCAGGACCAACAAAAACATCGCCATGGTAGCGGCTAGCGTGATGTTAACGGGTGCCTGTCATTTGTACTCTAATCATATAAATACGATGTAGCAGTAAAGGAAGTTATGACAAACTGGGCCTCACACATTAAGAAACATACGAGCCATTCACAGATAGTCACTTATCATTCTGGTAATTAAGTAACTAATAGAAAATGACTGAAAACGCAAACACTTCATCGATAACAAACGACGATACAACACGACGTACACACAGACAGGCGGAAAAATCATACCCAACCATGACGATAAACTCACAAAGTTTTGACCAATGATGTTAGGCAGTGATATCTACAATGCGAATGCTGATATGATTACGTTAATTACCAATGGTCATTTAAGTCGCCAAAGGTGAAAAAAAGGAGAACGAAGAAAGAACTGGGCATATGTTGGGGTAGACGAATGCCACCTGCGTCCGATGGATGACGTACCGCTCCCTGCGTCATAGCTGGGCGTGAGCTGGAGCGTCGGCGCAGTAGAGTCGGGGCGGCGTCCAGGCTGAAAAAAACACGCTTCGAACAGACATGATGGAAAACAATAACAAAAAAAAGGGACGACAAATGAAGGTATAAACAACAACGGCGATTGTGATGATGATGATGATGATGATCACGATGGTTATTATATAAGTAATAATGATATGACGATGATGGGAAAGCAGATAATGCAGAGCAGAGAATTGTGTCCTGAAGGACAAACGGACGGAACAAACTATGCTAGTCGCATCCGATCCGATAGTCCGACAGGCGAAAAAAAAACTGCGCAAATAGGAAAAATAATACTTAAGATGCGGCAAGCAAAAAAGCCCAACGATCTATTCGCTCTTCCCCGAGATCGCTGGTGCCTGTGCTGACGAAACGACGAAGGACAACAACATAAAGGATGGTTGATTACGGATGAAATAATCATACGATAAAAATGAATCTAATAAAATGACGATTACGTTATAGATAGGCTTTGCGACGCTAACGACTCTTAAATACTCGAGTGTACCACCCCGTCAGCGGTGTATCATGTGACGATATTATGTATTGCGTATATTAAGCGTTCATGACCGTGACGGCGTATCATTTACACAGACACATCATCACGAGAGAGAAAGAAATGAACAAACAAACGACGGGGCAAACAAACACAATAATAAGAATCAACAAGCACGCGGGCGAAATAAAGGCAACAGCAGAAAAACACATCGCGAGATTACGATGCCCTACCAGAATGGTAACAACCGCGATAACAATGACCTGTGAGAAACCTACCGGACTAATGAAAGTAACAACAGACTTCAGTATACTTTCGCTATTAGTACGAGGACGATCGCGAGCGGGTTAATAAATCGCTCACGACCCGCGTCAGCTATGATGGGCTCATGGCGCAATGACAAAAATTATGCCTCGTCCCTGTTGCCTGTGCGTACGTTACTAAATAAGTATAATGATATTAATTAATAATAATTGAAGATAACACTATAATAATATTAATAATAATGATAATAATAATTAAGCTGAGAACAGTAACTAGAGCAATCTCGTATAGCTATGCGAGGAAAAAGGGCGGACGCCAGCCGGACTGAAAATACTATTAGGTTGCAAGTTGCGAACTGCAAAGGACGAGAGGATGGGAAAAGCAACCCAGCTAAATTCGGGAGGGTCCGTCGTTGTAGGTTCTCTGGAGACAAAAGGGGTACTGAATGAAGAAACCATGCGATGCAAGCATAGATGACGTGAGCTTCGCAAGGAGCTCCTGCATTACCTGCATCGATCAACATTTCAGAAGTCATCGACAGATACACCCACAAATATGTTATATGCTACGGATACAGTGGTGGCCAGAGCAGCAGTGCTGAATGAATGGTACGAGAGGAATGCACTAGTATTAGCGTAAGCTGCCTACCGCGATTCTGTCATAGGTGACTTGCGGGAGACTGGCGAACGTTTTCGCCTGAAGGATGTTCCACATTCTGAGAATACATGAAGTCCCAAGGACAAACGCAAGGCAAAAAACAACGCGAAAACAATGCAAAACGCGAAACAAACTAAATAGGAAAAGGAATAATGAGGGATGGCGAGAGAGAACTCAGGTAGAACGACGAGATTCGGCTGACTCAGCTCACCCGCATAGTTGGAAAAACACAGAGTCGAACCAAAAAGTCTAGTTAGGATGAGCTAATGTACCAAATTAAGGTATTAACACTATGTCAGGCCGATAATGACGTTATGACTAGGCGAACTCGAGTGGACTCCCTTTCTCTCGTACGCAACCCAACACGGTACTTACCAGAGATCGGGGGTAACAGGGGCAACAACAGAGAAAAGGATAATGGAGAAGGTTAACGGAGCAAATTATATAGTCATACTCTTTATTGACGGTTCGTTGACTGACCGAGAGAGAACCTGTTTTAGTAGTCTCCCGCGCCAGAGTTAGGCGATTCATTTTTTCCTGCAGGGGCTACTGACCTGACACAAAAATAAAGTGATCTCATGTGAGTCTTCGTACGACTCTTCCAGTTAAAGAGCGAGACGAAGAATGGACGTTGACGCGTATCCAAGGGAGAAGGGGCTACGAAAACTACTAGTATTGTGAAGGGTATTGGGAGAAAAATTCTAAGATGGAAAGGTAGAGACAGTAAACATAAAAGCAGACGAAGTTCTGATAAATTACTGACTGACCGCCTCGCACCTAAAAAAAGGAGCGACTCCACATCGAGATGAGTCTCTCCATGTATTGTGGGGCGTCGCTAAATAGAGGAATAGGCAAGACAGTCCCGTTCAGAAGGGCCCGTTGTCCTTTGGCCTACAAGTGTTGCGGGAGTTAGATGCCTATCTTTCTGGTTAAGTCAATGCGTGTGTTCAACAAACAAACCACTTTGTTTAAACGTGTTATTTCTAATGGAAAATGTCAAAAATACCAAAAAAAAGATACTAAGAGTGGTCTAAGTATGAGTCGAAAAGACATAAGGTTACAAGTCATACACATACATCCATCCACATATACACACCTATTTAATACAAACACAACAGATCAGAAGGAAAAACCACTTACAATGCGACAACACATTATTACTATGATGATTTTTCTATGATACCACATATTATTTCTACGCGATACACCATTTTCCCCCTACACACAAACACACACATACACACACACACACAGACACACGCATACACACACACACACACACACAGGGACACACTGGATCACCCGTCCCCTGGTGACGCTAGAACATCGCCGACAATATCCGCATGCACGATACACGCACAAGAGTCGAAAGGATATGGCGACAAAGTCAGAAACAATAGATGAAACAAAGGTAAAAAAAAACCTAGACTTTTTAAAGCTTTGCCAACACACAGCTAGCAGAAACTCACGCAGACACACAGATACGCACTGACAAATAAGGAACGAATACGCGGAAAACAAGGACCATTGATGCCGTCGATAATTTCCATAAGGAAATAAGTGTACACGTGTATATATATATATATACACACACACACACACACACACAAACACACAAAAAAATACCTATAGTAAATATTACATTGGTTGATTGGAATTGGAAATGATTTCAGCGGTATCACAGCTGACTTCTGTATGTTAGAGACTTCTGTTTACAATATATATATATATATATATATATATATATATATATATATATATATATATATATAGAATGAATCGTAACGAAGCAGGCCAACGCATAGAACAAAGCAAAGAACGTAAACAGGTTAGAAAATGAAGAATAATTGACAGACGACGACGACGACGACTGCTACGATTATCGATGATGTTAAACAAAGCAAAAAACGGGGCCTGCAGAATGACGCGACATTAAACATTTAGTGAAAAAGATCAACAAACAGATATAGCTAATATAAACGCATACATAGAAGCGGCCTATAGAACTATAATAATATATCGACCAGAACCGTGTGGAGTGATCATACAATATTTGTGGGCGTCGTATCATCACTCCCGGCGCACATGGACGGATGACACGATGCGGTGTCACTCTGTCATCGCGAACGAAAACACAATTATAAACACAATAATGACGGCAAGAAGTAAACAGAAAAATTTAATATAATGCCAACAAAGGCCACAACAACAAAACAAGAACATAAGCAACACGAGAGGCATAGAGAGCATTACTATCTAATTAATCTGTGAATTACATTTCAAATGGAAGAAAGCGCTAACTCATGTAATATAAACAAACTCACTCTTTTTTGTCAATATAAATATATGTATTGGTTTTCTATATTCAGATAGTTATATCTAGGTAAGGAAAACAAAAACTACGTGAATTTGTCCACGGAGAGTCTATTCTAGCAAAAGTTGAAGGCTGACATTCTGTTCACTCTAGTAAAATTGTGTTGTTCCTTTACAAATGGCAGGCAGCACTTTTTTGATTTTCCTATTTTTTTTTTTTTTTCATTCGTATTACACACACACACACACGGGCTATTCCCCTCACGAGGACAGTCCTCGGAGTGACCTGTTTAGTAAAACGTCAAAGAAAAATTAATTGCTATGTATCATTTTCTGTAGCCATAGTCTACAAGGAAATAGGGGTGACATGATGCGGGCCAATAACCTGTCATGTTTGAATTTAATTCTATTTTGAAATACAAAACTGTACTATTAATCCACGTATATATATCCGTACATAGTAATTTATTTAATACTGATTATAGTTAAGAGTAAGGTCTTGTGTTTTTAGCAGCACTCTATTATTGGCTCATAATATCAATTTGTTTTGACATAAACCTATAGTATAAAAACCATTATATCTTTAACTTTACATATTCGATAGTATCGTATACTTGTCTTAATTTAGGTTCAAAGGTCAAAGGATTGTTTGTCGATGAACAGGTATAGTAATTGGTCGTATATTTATAAATTCGAGTGGCCTTTTCAGTGATGCTAAATATAACCTATCGCCGCATATTTTTTAACTTAATAATAGGACGAATAAATAAGACATATTTTCCTGTGTGGTTCGTGCCCGCCTGTTTTTCCCGAATAACTTCCGTTTTATAAAAGTAAACACAGAATATTGGGTCTGTCGTCTATAGAAACGTAATTATGGTTCAATGTTTGTATTGATTATATTTTACTATTAGATCTTATTACTTATGTCTGTTGCTAGCTAGAAATGCTAGCACCTTATGGTGTCGCTATATTGTAGCTATGGGAAAGGTTCAGGTCAGAATGTTTACTCGTTTGAAAATCCGCGGGTTCAATAAAGTCACTATAGGGAATCAGTCCAGAGTAGTTGACATCTTACGAAACGAACAGTTCTAAAAATGATTATAGTGACAGTTAACGAGACGAAGCGAAACTAGGGCACTGATGCTCATAGCTAATTCTCTCAACAGATCTCAGAATCAATCCCTAATAGAGAACGATGACCACTATCTTGCGATGAGGAAGAACTATACTTTTATTCGCTACGTCGTTATAGTGACTACGTGCTGCTGCTGCCACTAAAATGAGCAGTGTCAACTAGGTTACAATAGAATTGATACGGTCCTTTTTTTTTTTTTTTCTTGCACAACGGCAGTGAGACACGTGACGTGAAACAATCCAGTTTTAATAGAAATAGCATATAATAGTGGCCATGTCGGTAGAAGTTCAATGGGAGCATTCATTTGCGCCATTTCCTTCTTTTTTCAGTAAGTTCTAAACTTAGCTATAGCAATTGATCTTAGCAGCTGTTCACCCACGACTAGGTCCTGCAGCTGGAATTTGTACCAATGAACAGTTGTTGAGTGCACCTTAGAATCCTATTTAGTGCACGATGTATACGTGCAGAAACGCAACAAGTATGTTCACATTCATTGTTTTATCTTATGTGATCAACATCCGGTCAAATATGTTTGACAAGTCAAGTAATCCGCTTGAAGCAAGAATTAATCGATGCTAGCCAGCATTACCCCATTTGTCCTCTGTGCCTCGACTTTTACGTTCGTTCCATCTGTTGGGTTCTAGCACGTAACGAAGTCCGTCTATGCCCCACAAGAAGACCACAACCTATCCCTAAGATTTGTAGACAAATACGTTATACACTAAGCCATCGCCCGCCCGTTTGTTCTCCCCATTTGTCCTACCGTGCAAAAAGCAGACACGCAACTTCGTTGCAGAGATGTTGTTTCGGTAGCTCGTAGGAAATTTCTCCACCGAATGTAACAAATTATACCACAGCGTTCAACATTGCCTAATATTCGGTCGATATAAAATGGCGGAAAGTTTCATTCTTTTTTAGAGCTAAAGACCAGTTTACCGATATTTAACCCGACGCACAACGTAAATTAGGTAATTGTTCTCACGACAAGACGCAAGTACTTTGTGAGAAGTATGCCGTAAAAAGCGCTCAACATTCAAACTGTATCTAATTGAACAAGTCCTGAATACAGCGTACGAGTGCATATGCAATTCGAAAAGAATGCTACTTTCGAGAGCTAACTTATGAAGGCATTGGATATACATCAGCGATCAGTAGGTGGCGTGATCATACCTAGGCGTAAATAAAATGCTATTTCGTTTAGGTAACACTTGTTATTTCTCTAATAACTTACATGGACATATAAAGCTCATATACTAATAATAGTAACGACGCCATGTGGTAAAGTAGTTCGTGTCTTCTCTATGGTGAGGGATCTACGTAGAAACAGCTCCGCCATCTTGAATTTGGCGTGCCCTCTTCCAAGCTTGACTCCTGAAAATGTCTTTGGATATATTTTGCTTTGATTTTTTTAATTCAATTTGCTGAATTCGTCTGCTTCTTTTTTTTACTGGTTGTAGCTTTATTCGGTCCTATTAACATTTTTTTTTCCTTTTTAGCCATAAGTTGCATTAATTCTGTTGTTTTGTGGAATTTAGCGCGTAATTAAGTATGCAGTGGATTGCCAACCCACAAGATACATTGGCACCTCTGACATACTGACAGTTGACAGACCCCCTGAAGTTGACTCTAACTCCCTGAAGAAATAGCACAAAATCTAGCTAAGCTTCTTTTGACTGTATTGTTGTCAATATCGTTGCGTGTTCTCGTAAGTTGAATGCGTGTGCCTTTTCTAAAAACCTGATAATTCATAAAATACAAAATGTCACCCTTTTCAACGAGACGGACGCGGTTGGAAATCGCGCGTAAAATTCAAATAGACATTTAGGCTTAAGCTATATGCATGATAATGCATTTCGGTTAGACATATTTCACTTTCGATCATAGTAGCCATTTTAATTCAGTTATTCCTGACTTATACCGCTTCTGTAAATCTTCCAAAAGGGAAATTGAGCCTGTCACTGTTTGATAAAACTTTTCCTCTTACCCTTTAGATGAATTGATGATGACGCGTGTTTTGTAGCATTTGCTATGTGAGTCATTAGAATGAAAGCGATTTATATGGACTAAACAAAATATTTATTCATCCAAAGACAGTAACTGCTGGTTCTCGTCGAGAAAAACTTTTGCTTCATTAGCTGTCTTCAAATTGCCGTCCGTAATAAATGTCGACTTAGCATCCCTGTTTGAGCATTCACTAAGAGATTGAATATTTTATATACTTTCCGGTGATGAGCCAACTGACTAATTGACTTGGGACCCACAGTAAACGTTGCGTATTTGTTATCTACAAGATTTACTATTGACCACCTTCGTCGGTAAAAGTTTGAGCCTATCAACATATCAACTTGCAATGTATTGTTGGTTTGCCAATTTACTGACTAATAAATCCCTTTTCGACAATAAATTTCGTAACATATCAAGTTGAGTACCCCAGTTTGTTTATCCTATATTACGCATTAATAATACATATTATTGATTGGGTCGCCTAGTTAGAAATTTGTTAAGATGTGGTTGGGCTCCATCGCATTACTATCTTTTCGCTTTGGCAATGATTCTGCGAATACTACCTTGATCGCCGTTCGCGTGGCCGCCGAGGAAGGTTCCTGATTCGAATTCCAGTGCTGCCGCCAAGCAGAACCATGTTTTGCCCCACCTTCGTTAGGCCAAGCTGTGTTGCTATTGGAGACGCTCTCAATGGCAGATTCCTTATTAAATGCACGTTACGCGTTTCTCAACGCGTTTGAGAACGCTCAACAACAAAAGAGAAGGTCGCATTATGATCACCTACTCTTTACTAATGCTGAGATTAATGCTCTTCGTTCTGTGGTACAGTTTGTTCTGTGAAACGTTCTGTCCACATAAAACAGGCACGTATTTCGCTGTTGATCAAATACGTTACTTTCCACTTTCGTTATCCTATTGTATTTGTCGATCTAGACAGGGTAACAAGCTTTACAAGTCACATCTGTTATCAAAATAAGTACCTGTAAAGTTCCTTCTAAAGGTTCAACCAGTTACTGTTGATTGACGATGACCCGGCGACGCAAGGCTGATGCGGTCCTTGCTGCTGCTGCTTTTGTTGTTGTTGTTGACCTTCAGGACCCCATTTCGGTTGCCGGTGCCTGAACCCTAAAGATCACCGCCCTAACTGTGATGTGTTAGACCA